TGTGTAGAAGTGTTGTTTTTTTAGGGCTGGCAGCTTTAGCCAAACAATGTACACTTTTGTTATATTCAAGGTTCAGATACTTTGAGAGTATCTAGCATCACCCATCTCTTTAAAGAGTTGACGTTTTGACCAAGTGGTTTAGAGAAAAAAATCTGAAACATCTCTAGTTCAATGCACACTCTCACCTGTATTGGTTACACTATAGGAATTCCTAAACAGGGCAAGAGAGAAACATCCCATAAATAAAGGCGTGTCTGACGCCCTAATTGTAGACACGGACAGCGTTTTTGTCCCTGCGGTCCCGGGTGGTAATACAATACCGGATGAGACTCTTTTGTAGTGCATCACAGCCCCCCCCCCCCCACCACGACACGTCCGCAATTGTCTCCCCCCTTTCCAACCCCTCCCCCCCCCCCCCCCCCCCCAAGTTCCAACCATTTACTCCATTTGGATTTAGCTGGCTGTAGTCAACGTTTTCATCTCAATTAAGATAAGGACAATTTTTTAAATAAAGTATATATATATATATATAATATATATATATATATATATATATATATATATATATATATATATATATATATATATATATATATATACTATTATATATATATATATATATATATATATATTTATGGGGGGCATTTTCCGCTTGAGTTTGCCCCGGGCATCTACATAGGTCTGCACGCCACTGAACATTGGTGGTAGGGTGCATTATTTGTGCTGTTCAATACCTGGACCCAGTGCTAGACCAATGCTGGAGGAACCTATTGTTTTATGACCGGCAGTTCGTTGCTCGGCTCAGATATCAGGGCGCGTCACAATGGAAGAAGGTAAACAACCGCTATAACAGGTTGTTTCACGCAGGTAACGACCAATGTTCCCTTTAAGCAGAGTTTCTTCCAGGCATCTATTCGTGGGGGGCAAAGCCCTCTGAATTTTTTTTACCCCCCCCCCCCCCCCCCGGAGAAAAAAGTCTGGAAGAAAACACTGCCTTTAAGCTGCGCGGTTGCGCGGCCGCGCAGTAGGTTTGAGCTGCCGCGCAGTGATTTTGTAAAATAAATATATCCTTGCGTAAGACTTTTAGAACACAGCGCACAGAAAATAACATTTTGCACAGTAGCTTTCCCCCCTTAGAGTAGGGAACATTGGTAACGACATGAATAAACTGAACGTTCCAGAAAGTTGGTAGGGGGCGGGGGGGGGGGGGAACAGATCTGGGGGTACAAGTCTTTAAGGTCTGTGAGGATTCTAACACTTACCTGTTTTATTACTGTTCACAAGTTCACCTGCCAAAAGTTACCATTTGTAGTTATTTAGTAAGGCGGTGAATAGCGTCAATGACAACACAGGTACTACAGAGATTATCGTAACGTAGGTAGCAATGTAAACAGAAAGTGATATTTATTTCTCTACCCTAGGCGTTGAAATATCACTTTCTGTTTACATTGCTATTTCAGTAACAACGCCTGCTTCCATCTACTATACCGTAACGTAGGTATAATTACAGGGTGATGGGGGAAATTTTGACCTCCGTAGCCGATGAAGAAAATCTAGCTTTTATGACACACCCCCTCCCTCTCTCTCTCCTCCCCTCCCTCCCCCCCCCCACCCCCCACCCCACAATGGTGAAGTAGTCGAGAAGTGGACTACTCTGGTGATTTTGAGAGTTGGGAACAACTTTAAAATACTTCAGCCTCGGTACTTAATACTTGATTAGTATTCTCATTCTAATTAACAAATATGTAAACAGAGTATTATTACAATCCCAAAGTTACGTAATAAAGTCCTAGTAAAGACAGAAAACAATCTACAGCCAGACGGGATTCGAGCCCGCCATTTCTCACGGCGCCGATTCGCCGTCGAGAGTTGCGAACAACTCTAGAATACTTCAGCCTCGGTAGCTAATACTTGAGTAGTATACTTATTCCAGCCTTAAAATGAATTTTCGCCAGTTTTCCCTACAGTGCTGCACTCTCATTTACATTAAGGGTATTCGTTTTTGATTCGGTGAGTTAGAATTAGTTTTTGGCCGTGAACACATGCGCTAGGAGATTGGGGGTCAAGGGTCTCGCTTGACCGCCAGCCCTCTCTTGAAGTTATAAAATGATGTGAGAAATTATAGAATTTCGAAGTATGAAAAAATTAACATTACAAAATTGTGACGTGATTGTACAAAGTGGGAAAGAGCTAGCGATGGGCATTAGGCCCTGGGTTTGGAGTGGATCTTATTTGCAGGCATTAGGCCATGTATTTTGAATGGATCTGTATTTACACGCATTAGGCCATGTATTTTGAATGGATCTGTATTTACACGCATTAGGCCATGTATTTTCAGTGTATCTGTATTTACACGCATTAGGCAATACTTTGTGGTGGTGGGGGTGGGGGGGGGGGGGGTCGGGAAGGAGCCGAATGTGTGATGACTGTTGTGATCTAAAAAGTAGTTTTAGACACTGTTGGCCCAGCTGTGAGAATAAATTTGTAATTTATTTATAACTAAAACTATAATTCTGATGGGGGGGGGGGGGGGTTAATAGGCTGAGTTGTGACGTCTTAAAGGGGTGGGGGATGGGGGGTCTTGCTTTTTGTGACGATGTAGAGAAGAACTGCTTTTTTTTTTAAAAATTAAAAATGTGACGTCATACATGTATGACCCCTATTTCTTAAAAAAGGTCGCATGTCCGTTAATTATTGCGATATTAGACCTTAGTACTGTTTTAGATAGGGTGCGGTGAACGGCCTCACAATAGCACGCAAACGTGGAGGACGGACGGACCGTAGGACACGTGCATTTTGTTCAAAGGTGCGTCCAGCTTTCGTTACAATAAATCACTAAATGCTATTGATTTTAAAACGTGTTCAAAATATATATGGTCAGTTGACACAGAAGCGTAGCTGTGGTAGGGTGACCTCACCGGGCGCCGACCCTAAGGGTGCGCCATATATTCGGGGCTGAATAACTGAATCCCAAACAGTCGAAGTTTTTAAAAAAATAAACTGTTACTTGGCTTAACGAATGATTTAACTGTTTTCTACATCAGATGTGTGACACCAAAATGAAACCTGTCTAGGAACAATGCCTGGTAAAAAGCGACCTTTCCGAATGGGGTGAGGGCGTTTTTTTTTCTCACCATTGTGAATAACTATATGTAAATGGGGGTGGGGGGGGGGGGGGGGGGGTAGCAAAATTGATAGTTCGCCCGGGCGCTGGAATGGGTCACTACGCCACTGAGTCGACACCTTTCGGGGTCAGAGGTCACCCAACCAACGTTTCTCTTCATCGGGTTTGAACAACTGGTCAGCGTGCTAGCACGTCTTCTTCTTCTTCGTTCTTAATTTTTAGTGTTGGAAGGGATCGAGCCTTATCTGCCAGAGGGTTTGAACTCGAGACTCTAGCACGTCTAACTCGTCGTTCAAAGCCGAGGCGAGTCGGTGCTGGTGGGTTGTGGTGGTATCCTATTCCCTCTGTGCACACCCAGATTGTTCCGCCTTTACCGGTAACTATTTTTCTGTACATTTGCATACATATGGCGTATGTGGTAGATCAATACAACCTGAATCGGCCTCATAGGGAACTGTAAGTAAAGTAAAATACCACCGGGAAGGTGAAGTAGAGTTAATCTGTTTCAGAGACCTCGACATATGAAAGGATAGTGTGCTCAGGACTATGCCCATCCGCCTATACTTTCCCTAACGTGTGTCAGGTACTCATCATAGCTGGTTGGACTTAGGGACGTTCTTCGGACATGAACCAGGATTTGATCTCAAGACTTTCGGGGTAGCAGTCATATGCTCTACCTTCTAACCAAGCACGGTGGACTGTGCTTTATTTTATTTACGCGATGTCTCAAACAGCCAGTTGGGTGCCATCTTAAAGACACAAACCTGGTTTTGTGTGCCTGTGGTCTGGTATTGTAACACTTCAATGAAACCTGGCTAAACTTATGGTTTGCCACCCAGATATCAGTCAACCACATTCCAGAGGCGTAGCGGGGGGGGGGGCGTGGGGTACATATCTCCCAGGGGGCCGACCCTAGGGGGCGCCAAAATGGTGGGTTGGAAAAAAAATTAATAGCTCATTTTAGCTGCAGTTTTGCATTATAAGTATAAAAAAAATATTGGGGGGGGGGGGGGGCGCGTCAAATTGAAAGTTTGTCCCTGGGCGCCGGGAAGGGTCGCTACGCCTCTGCCACATTCTCTGTGCATTGAGTGTGATAGTGGCTGATTAGAAAAGCTTCATTTTGTTGTAGACAAGTCAGTGATTGAATTGTTTACACATCAGAACATATGCCTGGTGCTCCCCCAGTCTACGGCCCCTCCCACCACCAAAAAAAGAAAAAAATGTAATTTATTTAGAAAATGTATACTTTAACCAGTATCTGCTCCACCCCCTTCCCACCAGAAACTTTAGTGCACCCTCCTCTCTCTGGAGAAAATATCTGAAAGACTGAAAGAGGCACTGTCCTCCCCCTACCTCACCCCACTGCAAAAAAAAAAAGCTAGGTTTTATTATGAACTAAAGTTTGTTTATGTGTATGTATTATTGATACCATAATTGTATAATGTTGGGTAAGGTGAAAGGCATCAGTAATTCCTGTATATGGCGCCAAGCCTTCACACCCCTCTGCATACTTCATACAGCATACCCATAGCAACTGGTGTGTTCTAAAGTAGTATGTAAAGTCACACATCAATTTCATGATGCATTTAATGTTACTGCTGAATGACAAGGTTGCAACACAAAATCTGTAAGCATGCCAAAATGTCTACATTCTATTAATAAAATAATGTTACACCTTTTTACAGAAATCAATAACTTCATGATGAGCTTATATATATATATATATATATATATATATATATATATATATATATATATATATATATATATATATATATATATATATATATATATATATATATATATATATATATATAATTAAAAATAACTGCATTGAGCTTTTAAGCTACCTATAAATGATATACTACTGTAATAAATATAAGGGCAAATAGATTATGATACCAAGATTAACCTTGATAGTACAAGATAAGCTATGATATTGATGTTACATTTATTTTAGATAGTGGCTGAGTTGGTTTAGTCTAGGATGACTATAAACATGTTTTTAACTGTATGAGACTCCAAGAACTTCATATTTTTAGAGGGTTTTACAAGAAGATAGTTTTGAAGACATTTAAAAAGTAAATGTTGGTTTAATGTGACAATCCTGGAATAGACATGAAGAATCCTAACATTTGGCTACTAATTTTTTTTAAAGTATGAGTTTCTGGTAAGAGTTTTTTATTGCATTAAATTGTATTGTTCTTATTTAATTTTTAGTTTTGTTATTATAAAAAAATTAAACTTAACAATAGTACAAGACTATCACTATTCGTGTTTAGTGGAATAATATTTAAAGAATGATATTTTTTTGTTTTCCATTCCTATTGAGTTTCTCTGCAATTTGAATAAAATAATTAGCAACATAGTAATTGGTTGTCTCCCTTTGTTAAATATAATTAATGCACTGGAGATAACTAACAATACTAACATACATCAATAATTGTTGTTAAACAATCCAATATATTTTTTCAGCATTGCAGTTTGTCTGAATTTGTTGAGCAATATGTTCTGAAACATGTTTTAATACATGAATAGGTCTGTTTATTAAAATGAAATTTATGAAGTATTCATAGCACTAATATTGTATGTATTCTAGTTACAACTCAGTTTTTACTTGTAATCAGTGTTTATGTGGCTTTGACGTAAACGTACAGCAGGAATTAATTTTATATTCATTTTTATAACATTAAAATTTGTTTCTAATGACATCAGTGATCTTGTAATAGATTTTGGCATAGCACAGAAGGCTAACAACATTCATCCTCAAATTTTGCTTATTCAAATGCAGCATTTTGCACATATAGCAGTGTCTTTGTAGCATACTCTATGCTGTCTCATATTTTAAATGACCTGGTTTTTTTTTTTGGTTTTTTTAAAACCCTTTTTCTTATAGTTTAGCCATTCCGACTTAGTTGTTACTGGTAATTGCTAATAATATGGTGTTTGACTTAATTTTTATTTACTTTGACTAAGATTTTTGAGCTTTGTTTATTTTTGTAATTTATTAACATTGTAAAAAAGTAATCAAATAAGCCAAAAGACTGTATTTTAAGTTTTTTTACCAGCAGGATGAGATGCAAGAATTAAAATTGGACTCAGTGATCTCATAATGGATTTTGGCATAGCACAGAAGGCTAAAAACATTCATCCTCAAATTTTGCTTTCACAAATGCAGCATTTTGCCCATACAACAATTTATTTGTAGCCTACTCTATGCTGTCTCATAACATATTTTAAATGATCTGGTTTTTTTTTTTACTTTTTTTTCTTATAGTTTAGATATTCCGGCTTAGTTGTTACTGGTAATTGCTAATATGTTGTTTGACTTCATTTTTATTTACTTTGACTAAGATTTATTAGCTTTGATTATTTTTGTAATTTATTAACCTTTTAAAAAAGTAATCAAATAAGCCAAAAGACAGTATTTTATGTTGTTTTTACCAGCAGGATGAGATGCAAGAATTAAAATTGGACTCCACAGACAGCCCAATGACCAGGAATGACCAGGACAGTTACCTTTTGATTGTGTCTGGCACTCCAGCACAGGATCAGAGGGAGACGGAGAATTCTCCAATTACACCCAAAACAAAGAGGAAAAATGAAAAGGTTATTTAAATTTAAATATTTTTTTTTACTAGTTTAACATTGAAAAATAGCCCTGCTGTGGTTCTTTAGATGGCCGTCAAGGCAGTTGAAGTAGAAATTTTTTTATTTTTTTTTGCGGCTTACACATACTTGAATGTATTGTGGTCAAAGTTCTAATGCACACCGGCTTTTACTTTCTCTTATTTGAGCCTGGAACCCATCCAGTGTTTCTTTCAGACTTTTCTCCATGTGGGAACTTGAAACGTTCCAGGGTGGGGTGGGGGTGACAGATTAAATTTTCCAGGATAGCAAACACTGGTAAAATTATATATTGCCTATGTAAGGTCTATTTTGTTCGAGGGGGTAGTGTGTGGTAGACTTGCTTCGGAATGCCTGAAAGAAACTCTGAACTCATCATTGCTGGGTCGACTCAGCAACACACCATCCTATCTTTGGATGACACCCTCCAAGTAAATAAACTTTTGACATTCACATCTCTTATGAAATGAAAATAAAAATGTACATTTTTATCAGGACTCTGTTACTGAAGAGCTCCACCATGCCAGTGATATGTCAGCGTCGTTAGAGTATGATGAAGCAACACAGGGGGCAGATGACTGCGGTCAGTTTAGCAGGTCAAGCTCAATCAGATTAGAGGTGGGTCAAATCTGCTATAATTAGAATTGTATTTGGGTCAGTTATAGAAACAATGTTCAGTCAGTATCTTTCTGTATTTGTGTGAAGAGTTTTAATACAGAAACTGACTTTAGACTTTAATGTGATTGAGCAGAAACATATGCATTGCATTATAGAACAAAGAGTAGATGTTTTTATTTTATATTCTTTCATTGTAAATTATTGTGTCAAGTTTATGTGGACTCATGCAGTTGGATAATCTAGAGTTTCGTGTGATGACAGTTTCAATACCTATGCAACAGCTCAGGGTATATGTATCACATATTCTGTTTAAAAATGTGGATGCAGTTTTAAAAACTTTTATAATATTAACAGAGGTTAGAAATAAATGCTTGTTTGTATTCAAAATGTTTATTTTTTCTATCGTATTTAACAATTTTTAATCTATATTATTCAACTGTTAGATTCAGGATTTGTGTAATGATGGTAGCTTTAACTTTACCACAAGCACGCTACGTAAATGCAAGCAGTTGGTGCTTCGACCTTACTGGAAACTTCTTGTATTTGTAAGTTACTTTTTGCTTTTAGGAAACTTCTTGAATGTGTAATCCAATGCTACATATGTAATTAAATGCAGTTCTAGCGATGTTGTTTATATGTATATGTGTATATTCTGTAAAGATTGGATGGAGGGGATTTCACAAAGAATCCATTCATGCCAACAAAAGGCGTTGGAAGATTGTCAACTTCCTGTATCCGATGCTGATGGTATTGCTGCTGTTGTACACCTACATGTATGAGATCCTGGCCTGTGAGTGGAAGCTCAACATCGCTACAGACAGCAAGGTTTGTTTTAGGTTAACTTGTGTTAAACTATGGGACAACGTGGCCTAAGCAGTAGAGTGATAGGCTGCTAACCCAAAAGTCTCGAGTTCAAATCCGGGTCCTAGTCAGTAGACTTGCTCTGATGGGTACTTAACTCATGTTAGGGAATGTAAAGTAGGCTGTTTCTACTAATTGAATTTGTATACTGAGTGTTATTTTTAATTGCCTTTTAATCCACATATTTGAATGAAAACATTCATATGACCATGAAGCTAAAGTGATTAAACACAAAAAGTAAAATGGGCAGATAAGATAGCAGTTATCTCCTTGTCTTGTTTATCTCCCCTGTCTTGTTTATCTCCCCTATGCTACACTACAAGGCCTACATCAATAAAGTCAGATTTCAAAAAGATGTCTGTAAATATTGTATATTGATTAGGTGATTAGATATCCATCTGATCTCTGTGTTGAATTGATATTAAGTATTCATTATCCTAACATGGTTCTAATTCACTGCTAATCATAACCTCTTTCTATCCCACATAACCCTTATGAGGTCAATAAATTATCTTCCCTAAATTAAGAATTAAACTCATCTTGCTAGCATGTCTGGCTAATCTATTATCCTGAACAAACCATAATTGATATATTGGAAGTCAAAGAAAAATGTTATCTTTCTGACCTGACAGATGAAGTAGAGTTCACCTGTTTCTGTGACCTCAGCTTATGAAAGGAAAGTGTGGTCAGTTCAATGCCCTATTGCCTTTACCTTCTCTAATGTTAGTCAGGTACCCATTAGAGCTGGATGGACTCTGGCTCATGATCTGAATTAAGTTAGCAGTCATTCATTCTACCATCAATTAAAAATCCTAATATATTTTGGCAATTATTGCTCTATTTTGCGTGAATTATTTCATTACATTTGTTTATAATCCTTATTTACTTTATTATTCTCATCATCTTATATAATTATCAAATAAAATTTGTTTATATTTATGTATATCATTAAAAATTGAAGAGCTGTTGCTAACACAACTATGCATGTCACTGTCAGGTACCAACAACAGCTGTTCCCATGACAACGCCAAACTCTTCAATCCCAATGAGCAGCTTAGTCCCAGCTATTTTAAAGGGCAGTAACTCCTCCAGCTGGAACATAGGCTGTGAGCACATTGTCACCACCTACATGATACCCAACATCCTCCACCTCCTGGCCTACACGTTTGGCCTCTACTACTTTAGGATACAGGAAAATGAGCAGTTGTATGCGCTCATGGAAAAAGTTTGTAGTTTTCATTTAATTTTGTTGTACAAACTTAGATAAAAGTATTTATTTTTTTGTATTGAAGTCTTTGGCAAAACAAAAACATCTGTTTACTACAGTTAAGAATTGAGTTTATGTGACAGATGAAGTAGAGTTTGTTTCTTTAACTTTTAGAATTATTGTTAAAACTTGAGTCTATATTACAGATGAAGTAGAGTTTAATTTTTTTCTTTAACCTTAGCATATAATATGCGGTCTTCGCCATGCCGAACCACATTTACTTCCCTTGAATTTAAATCTGCTTCTCATTAAAACTGGGTAGATTCCGTGACATCCAAACAACCAATCACAAGATTGTCAGGTTGGCAGTCTTGCACTGTACCATGACGTCACATAAGTATAGGTTTATAACTTTATAACATTGAATTCATTGATATAACCCCAGGTGTTTCTTCAAGCTACACCTGTACAAGCTAGGACAGCCTCACAGCAAAAAATGATACATAGACTTAGGTAAGTTGTTGTGGTGTCTCTACCAATATGTCTAAAGGGGCTTCAAGAATACACAATATGATCTATAACTAGAATGGCTTCTGTGAACAGGACAGAAATATCCATCTTATTTCCGCACAATCTAATCAATTACATGAATAGATAAATAGTAAACACAAAACTTTTAATCATTATATAAATCACTAATTCACTTTGTCTACACTACAAGTAAACTCCCTACCTCATATACTATGTCCTGACTGTCTCTCTAGTCTTGTCTCCTAGTTGTTAGGTGCTCTTCATGTCATACTCACATACAGACATTCTTGCAAGCAAATATAACCACAGCAAATACTCTGAAACCAAAGTGTCTACTGTCAATCCAAACTAACCATAAACTTCAAACTTATTAATTCATATGTCTTACTCTACCATTTAGTCCAGTCATGTAATAATCTACACTTAAAACATCCTAACCAATAATCATACATAGATTCAGATGATCTGTTAATTAATGATCTATAACATTAGATAAGCCCAAATAAATCATTATTTTTAGACTCAGGTGATCTATTAATTAGTGATACCTAGGCTTAGATAAATCTATAGAATTAATGATAAATGTACTTAGTAAGTTTCAACAACGGCTTATGATTTAATCTTGACAAAGTATTTCTATGCAACAATAACAATTTGAATTAAAAGATATTTGTACTCATGTGTTGTTGTTTTATTTTATTCCAGACTGTTCCTTGTGGCTGGGTCCTTGTGGGTGTTCTTAACTGTTTTACTGCAGTGTCTGTATGTTTGGGCCTTCAATTTCCCTAAGTTGCCTCTCTTCAAAACTATTGGGTCAGTGCGAGATAGTAGTTTAGTAAAATGTAAACATCTTTAATAGGTTGGAGTATAGCTTTTTGATTGGGTGCATGAAGTTAGTATATAAATGTTAACATTTTCAATAAATTGGAATATATTTTGGTCATAGGATTAGTGCAAGATATTATTTATATGATTATTTTCAGTACATTTATAAAGATTAAATTAATATTTTCACTATATTTATAGATTAAGTTATTATTTTTACTACATTTGTAAAGTTTGAACTATTATATTCACTATATTTATAAACATTAATTTATTATTTTTACTAAATTTGTTAAGATCAAATTATTATTTTCACTATACTTTATAATGTTAAAATTATTATATTGTTCATTTCTAAATCTGCTTTAAACAAATTTAAAGAATGCAAGAATTTGAAGCTCACATGTCTATAGTTATTAATGCTTTTAACCCTCTGCCCTCTGAGCATACAATCTTAAACCCAATTTAAATAAGGTGCATCTATATTGGCATCATGACTTGATGATGATGATGTTGCTCACTGAGAGATGTAAATTTGTATACAACTTTTCACTTTTGTTCTGAGAGTTTCTAAATGTCATTTTGATCCTGTTTCGAAAATAAACCCCACAATCTTAACATAAACTGTGAGCATAAAATTCTGACATCACAAGTGTTAAATCAATGCAACAGTGCCATCTGTTTGATTGACAGCTGTATCCTCCCCTACAGGGTGCCTGGCTACTGGTCACTGTTTGGCATCGAGCTGCTGGGACGGACTCTCTTTAACGCGGTCATCCTGGCCATCGTGATGAATTACGCCACCCAGTGTGAGATGATAAAGTTCTACGTGCGGGGGCTCAGCATGAGACTACAAGAAAAATCTACGGATCTAAAAACTGCTATGAAGGTCAGTTCCCAAAGAATGTTCTTCACAAACTTATATCAATTATAGGCATTGTTTTGTGACTATACATTATATACTTCATTTAAGAATTTTAAAAATATTTTCATAACAATTCAAAACATATTTTTACATGAAGAGTTTTCACTGACCATAAGTCAAACATTAGAGATTTCTTATTGTACTTGTGTCTCCTACATCGTTAGAGATTTCTTATAGTACTTGTGTCCCCTACATCGTTAGAGATTTCTTATAGTACTTGTGTCCCCTACATCCACATGAAATAATATGGTGTGGTCTTAAAGAAAAATTCTATCATATCATCACTTGTTATAACTTCTCGATTATCTATTTTTTTAAATTTAAGAAAAACTATCTAAAATGCCCCTGAATTATAAAATTTAAAAGTCAGATTAAACAGTATTTTAAAATTTCAAATACAGGATCTGCTAATGCTAAGGCAGAGTTTGAGTTTATTGAATGGGATAATCTCCAAAATGACCTCACTTGTGGCTGTCATTCTTGCAGAGTTAACTATCATTGGTAAGGGAGATCATTTGTTAAATTTTAATTATTCAAGGTAAATAATAGGTTTTTTTTAAAAAAAGGAGCAGTTTTCAATATTTGTAAACAGTTTAATTTTGAAAGATAGTGCTAGTTTATAAAATAGAATTTAAAGTTAGTGATCATTAAAAGAATAATTAAGTGCAGATACATAATGCAACTGGTCTGTCTGTATATATTTATAATTATTTCTGTTCAAATCATATGTAATATTACTTACCTGAAGAGGTATTAGGCTATTATTAAAAAGTTATAACCTCTCTGTATCAGGTATCTGTATATTGTTCTTAAATGAGATGAACGACCCAAAAGTCTGGGCATACAGGAGCCTTTTCCCACTTATCTGGGCTGTAATGCTTTCATTTCCTCTGTTTCAAGTAAGTTCCCTGAATTCTCTTGCAGTTCAAAAAATAGATAAAAATTTGCTTGCTTTTAAATAGACCAGAAGATTGGTATTTTTTTTTGACTCAGAGAGCAGAATATTATTTTCTTATACTGACGAGAAGATTGCTTTATTGTGCACACGGAACAGAACTTTTCAATTTTGCAAAATACTTTCATGTAAAATGTGTAATGTGTGTGCTCTGTGTAATATGTGTAATATGTGTAATGTGTATGTCTGTATGTAATCACCAGGCTGCTCGAGTCAATTCTATCTGTCTGAGGATTCAGAAAATTTCTTTAGAGATGCGGGTGTTTGGGTACAAGGGAGCATCCATTTTGGACCTGGATTCCTTTCTTCAGTTTGTTTCCTTGACCAAACTAAAAGTAAGTTGGTCATTCAATCCTTGACCAAACTAAAAGTAAGTTGGTCATTCAATCCTTGACCAAACTAAAAGTAAGTTGGTCATTCAATCCTTGACCAAATTAAAAGTAAGTTGGTCATTCAATCCTTGACCAAACTAAAAGTAAGTTGGTCATTCAATCCTTGACCAAACTAAAAGTAAGTTGGTCATTCAATCCTTGACCAAATTAAAAGTAAGTTGGTCATTCAATCCTTGACCAAACTAAAAGTAAGTTGGTCATTCAATCCTTGACCAAACTAAAAGTAAGTTGGTCATTCAATCCTTGACCAAACTAAAAGTAAGTTGGTCATTCAATCCTTGACCAAACTAAAAGTAAGTTGGTCATTCAATCCTTGACCAAATTAAAAGTAAGTTGGTCATTCAATCCTTGAGTAAATTAAAAGTAAGTTGGTCATTCAATCCTTGACTAAATTAAAAGTAAGTTGGTCATTTTAGAAACTATTTATTCCTAAAGAAGCTATTTTACAAACTATTTTAGAAACATTTTCTCAAAATAGTTTTAGAAACTTATTTCTGCCTAACGGTTTTTATTGAGCCTTTCCAGTATTTGAATTTACTTTGTAGAGCCTCCATTAAAACAAATGTTACACTTACACCTATTTTATTTGTCTGCTTTATATAAAAATAATTTTATCAAATTAAAAACAAAAAAACAACACACTTTCAAAGAGATACATGCAGCCCAACACTGCCAGATTCCTGACTCCTTGGCTAAACAATGGAAACTAAATTATCTTCATGCTTTTTAATGAAGTTTGGATAGCATTAGTTTTATTCTATAACCCCAACTTTGCAGTATTTTTATTTAACTTTTAAATAAGATTCTAGTATAAGAAATGTAGCTCAGATTTGTTTGTAAAGTCTGTATTTAAGAGTGGTTTTTTGTCAGAATCAAATTTTTTTAGTTTTCTTCTAATCTGTTTTGTTTGATGTTCCCTGCCATAAAATAGTTTCTAAAGTCTGTGCTCATGACTAATTCTTTAACTGAATCAAATTTCTTACCTTTCTTCTAACTTGTTTTGTTTATGTTCCAGGCCAAGTTGTTCCACATCCCCATGTTACCGTCCCACCTTATTTTTGCTGGAGTGGTCGGCGCCTTCGTCCTCCTGATTCTTGTACAGACCAGCAGCATTGGGCCATCCAATTATTTCTTTTAATTAACGATGTGTCAATCATACAACACAGCCTGCTGGATCAGACCCTGTAAATAATTTACATATGGATCATGGTGGTCACATGACAGAGTTAAAGACTGATTATCTATGCAGGACTTTGCAGAGTCCACTTAGCTTTAATAAGTACCTGACTGATGTTGGGAAAAGACATTGTAATTAGGCATTGTTCAAGCCTCATATATTCTGTTTGACCTCTATTTAATCTGTATAGTTAATGGTCAACATAATAGTATTTCGCTTTAAGAATACAAAATTTTATTTTTATTACTGAACCCTTCTTGTGCCTTCATTGTTCAGATAATATGACACAAACTTTTACACTCATTGTAGGCTTAAATGATCAATATTTGATCCCCCATTTCAGTTCCCCATTATTTATGCGCATCAACATTTTGTAATGTTTAAACTGATGTGTTATTTATATATGATTCATCATGAAGGATAATTGAATGCATGTAAAGCCAATTATATTGATCATTATTCATTTTAAACTTACTTTGAAACTGGATTGAGATTTAATAACAAAATACAAATAAACAAATAAGCCTGAAACATAATTTTAAAATAGCAAAATTTTGTTTTGGAAACTGTAATCATTAAAAAAAAAATTAAATTAATTATTAAATTACTTTCACATAAGTTCATCTAATTATTTACAGTGGTATTAATGAAAAAAGTTTATGCACAAAAAAAGCAAATAGTTTTTCTGTTTAAGAATACTAGCTGTGATTTTTAATTTAATTACAACAAACAGGAAATAGATTAATTGTGTTATTTAAAATGCTATCATATAAATGAATTACAATAAAATTGCAAATCCTAGCCTAATTAATATTTTACTAATGGCTGATTTTGTTTTAGTCTGCTTGAGTACTTTATTGATTGCTAATTTCTCAGCTACAGATTTTATTTAGCATTAATTAGACACTTACACTGCAGGATTGAATTTACAGATCTGTTTTGATGTTCCAATATTTACACTTAATTATTACAAAGATAGGGATCATTGTTGTAAAATAATTGAATAATTTCATTGTTGTTAAGTTATTGTTTTATCTGTTTTCTATTATGGATTTCAACAAATATTCTTTCTTTTTAATGACTTTGTTCCCATCAGGTGGATGTCTAGAAAAAAAAAATTACATAAATCTATTGTAATTGTATCATAAAATTAAATGCATTTATATTTTTTTTTTAGCTCAAGCAAAATCATAATTTCTTTATCTGTTTATTATTTTATAATTAAATGTTTGTTTTATAAGTACTCATGTTGCCATTTATCCATGTGACATTTTTAAAAAAAAAATTTGATTTGAAAAAATGTTTAAATAATAATCTATATTATGTTAATTTCATGCTACATTTGATTATACTTGTCTTTCATACAAACCTTTGATAAACTATGTTGGTATATTTTGCATTCCAAACTGCTGATGCAGCATTTATACAAAAAATAAACTTGTTGCTGTATTGCTTGAGGTATTCAATTTACACATTGACTGTTACAATGGTGATATTTTGTTATTTTATCATTGCTTTTGAATAAATCTATCAGATTATCAGTGTTGGACTTTTTGAAATTACTTTCTAAATGTTGAATGCTACCACAATAAATGCATGTTTTCACCTGTTATAAAAGAATAAAAAGGAAGAGAAACAAGGAGTAATAAAATAGTTTTAAAATTTTATTTTTCAAGGGAAGTAACAAAATAGTACGTCAGCATAAAACAAACCAACGAATGATTACCTCCCTTGCATGTAAACACTTAAATAATTGTTCGCTGAGTAATAAAGGTAGTAAGGTATGGTACAACTTGTGGGCTGCGAAGTTAAAAGCTAGCCTGATGAACATGCACCAGCGTAGATCAATCTGCAAGCCCTTAGCAGTTTTCTTCCAGGCCCTAAGGGGTCATAAAAGAAATTAACTTCGGTCCTTTACATTGGAATAATAAATGTAAATTTTTCTTTTCTTATTTGTAAGACCGTTTTAATGTAAAATAAAATAAACCGGGAGTGATCTCCCCTAAAATTTCTCGAATATTCTTATATAACTTGAAATGTAGACATGATTTTTAATTACTTGAAACTTTTAAAAATAGAATAGAATCTCATAGAAAAAAGAATTGCGCACCAAGCGAACGGCAAAACAAAATGTGCATAATAGTGCGCAATATTATTAGTACTTTATAAATTTACATGCGTTTTTTGAGAAATCGAAAATAGCGTAAATTAGTACTTCCGGTCAACGAAAATTACTCACAATTTGACAGAAGGCAGAGAGTTAGATATGTTACTTACATGTGAAATTTCATTTATCTAACTGAAATAGTACTCAAGTTATAGGCTTTTGAAAAATTCAAAGTAGAAAAAGTACCACTTCCGGTTATCGGAAATCGCTCAAAAGTTGATCAGGATCTACGATTTTGATAAAATACTTATATATGAAATTTCATCAACCTAGCTGTAACGGTACTCAAGTTATCGTGTTTACGCACAGACACACACACAAGATTGCAAAAGTATGTTTTTCCGTATCAGTGAGGTGTAAAACGTCGAGATTTGTAAAAATCTAGATTTTTGTTTTTGCACGATTACAATACTTTCTCTATACGAGAATGTAAAAATATCTAAAACTAGCGATGTGTATAATACAGACCTAGAATCTATTATTTTCATGAATGGCTAAATGAAAACGAACGTTTTTGTTTTACGTTGTAGAAGATGGTGTACATAATGTCGTGAGTAACTCGTAAGCCAGGGCTGCTGAGTGCTGGGCATTGTAGCCTGCTCATACACAGGAACACCTAAAACCCGAATTAATAATAAAGTTAGTCACTTCTCACATAGTCGACATGTTTAATTTTTTTTATTTATTAAAGTTTCAAATGCAGCGGCTGAACTAGAATATAAATAAGCAAATAAACATATACATGTATATATATATATATATATATATATATATATATATATATATATATATATATATATATATATATGTAACTAGGGGAAGTTACCAGAGAAATAAGAACGCAGTACAGCGCTGTCAACTTTGACACGACTGATGTAATAACGCAGGTGTTGGCTGATAACGATCAGAAAGCCAAGGCGTAGTATCTCGGGAAGCGATACGAGAAGAACGCAATACGGTCTGTCAACTTTGATGTGACAGGATGCAGATGGCTTATTAAATCGGACTGTACGACAGAAGCGGCGTAATTAACATTCTGATGCAACGATTAGAATCGATTACGATTACGATTATGATAGAACCGGATACGATTACGAATACGAAGGGGATATATAGGAAGGCGACGGCTGAGCTCGCGGTCGGTGTGTGTCTCTCTCTCTCGATCAGTCAGTCAGTGTGGCAGTATCAAGTTGGTTATTGAACGGGTTAGCCGTATTGTGTTAAGAAGGACGATAGACATGTGCATTCAGTTATGTGAAGACTAGTGAGGACTGTTGGGGGTCCGTTGATTCAGACTATTATTGTGAAGCATTCCTTTTGATTCATTATATTATTGTGAAGCATTTCTTTGATTCATGTAATAAAAGGATCAATAGCGAACCTGCATCTTCGAGTATCTATACTGTGGTCGATGTTGTGTAGAATGAGTGGTTAGACTCGGTAACATTTGGCGTTGTCGAGCAGAACTCGTTAACATTTGGCACTACAGGCAAATAGTCTCGTTACATTTGGCGCTGCGGACAGGATGAATTCAACGAGACTTGCCGCTTGAGGCACCCATAGTCAACCTTGTTCATAACTGTGTTTCGTGTGTGTGTGAATTCGGACATTCAGGAACAGTGAAAATTGAGGAACGAGGAAAATTTTTCATACACACACGGTAAGAAAGAACTCTTTTTTTTTACTCAAGGAATAAAATGTCTACTCTGGACGAGAAGCAGACCCATATTGTGGTCCTGCCCAGAGAGTCCCACATTAACAAATTTTACGGGGACGGTGATCCAGCTTTAACCAACAGGTTCAGTGAAGAGGTCAAAGCGGCCTGGGCCTCGAGACACATGTCACCAGAGGAAAGATTAAGACTGCTGATGGGCAGTATAGGAGAGACGGTTAGGGCAGAGGTCAAATGCCACGATAAAACCATCCAATCAGATCCAGATAAGGTGCTGGATCTAATTATGGAGACCTTTGGGGAGAGACGGTCGGGATCGCAACTGCTGTCGGGGTTCGTAGGCTTAAAGCAGAGAATGGCGGAGAGTGTGATGGAGTATTCACACCGAATGAACAGGGCCTTTGATTCGGTAAAGGGCAAAACACCTGACATTGATGTACGCCTACTGAGGGACCATTTCATCGAGGGGCTAGCAACCCCGATCTTAAGGAGAGAGTTGAAAGAGGAGGTCCACAAAGACCCGCAGTTGACCTTCCTGCAGGTCAGGAACTCAGCGATCCGCAGGTCCGAGGATGAGGACCAATCGAACTGTTCGGTGGACAAAGTCTCTGTGCCGGAACATAAACCATCCCCACCCACAGGGACCGGCACGGTGGAAACCATGATGGCTCAACTGTTGGCCCACCTGGATAAGGTTGACCAACGATTGGAGAGGTTAGAAAGCAGGTCAACAGCTGAGAATCAGGAAAAGAATGGGACAAAACAGAGACAGGTTGGACGGCCGCGACCCGCCGGTCCATCGCTCCGGTGGACGGCTGACGGTCGACCAATTTGCTTGTCCTGTTCACAACCCGGACATATGGCACGGTACTGTCCGGTGAAACGGTCGTCCTCTGTAAGGCAGGGCCAGGCTACAGAGGGGCGAGGTTATGGCCCAAGAAACAAAATGATGGGAGTCTGTCCCGAAATGGTGATTACGATTGGGGACATCGCGGTGAAGGCAATTGTGGATACAGGCTCCCAGGTGACGACAATTACGGAAAATTTTTACACCAAATGGATGAAAGGAAAAGACCATAGGTTGAGGTCTGACACATGCATGCGCCTGACGGCAGCTAATGGACTAACCATTCCATACTGTGGTTATTTTCTGGCGGATGTCGTGGTGGCGGGACATAGGTTGAAGCAGGTTGGGGTGTTCGTTACGAAACACAACCTAGAGACAAATGTGTCAAATATACCTTGCCTGTTGGGCATGAATATTCTTGGCCAGTTGCCAGAATTTCTTACAAATATTGTCGGATCGACCACACCAGGTCGGGGATCCAAGTTGGCCAGGTTTGCCAAGACCAGAGGAAGGATATCAGTCCCGGCAAACACGGTCAAGGCAATCACATTACAAATTGGTGATAGAAGCGTGAATGGTGAGGTGATGATAGAACCATGTGGCGCCGCACTGAGGGCAGGCGTTGTGTTACTGCGGACATACACATCAGCGGAAAATGGACTAGTTCAAGGATTAGTGGCAAATGTTTTGGATGAGGAAATTTTTATACCGCCTAACACTCTGGTAGGAGTACCACAGAACGTCGAGGTACAAAGCTCGGCACAGTGCATCGAACTGAGCAATACCAGCAGTAATGAAGTAACAATTAGGTCGGTCAATGTGACGGCCGAGGTGAAGAAA